ATAGAGTTAACTCATTCAAGTTTTTGGGGATCGGTTTTTCACTGCTTACTAGTAGGACGATATAATATGTAGGTTTAACCATCATGTTTTGCTGTGGTTACATTTTTTCTTTCAAATATTTATTATTTATTCATTCATTTATTCATTCATTCATTTACTTATTTGTTTATTCGAAATGACACTTAAAAAATAACGACAGACGTGGGTAGTGCGTTCTCATATAGCAACAACAAAACATTGAGATGTAAGAGTAAAAACAAAACAATAATATTTCATCATTATTATTATTTTTTAATCTTCATTGAAGCCAATCGGTCCCAACTTTTTATTTTATTATTTTTTTTTTGCTATCAGTGGCGTAGCCAGAGGTTTTTGGCGCCCGGGGGCAAGAGTAGAGAATTGCGCCCCTTCCTCCCCCCACATTATAATTATAATATTTTGAAATAAATTGATATTGGTTGTATAGACATTAAGCATATCCGTATCGTACGTCCATATCATGCACTGTAAAAATAAGCACTGTCTAAATTACATTATTTAAACCCGAATAAGTATTAGTTCTAGCTGTCATAGCCTATGTTCTTTCTTACCAGGGGTGGGGGGGGGGTCCTGGCGATTTTCTTACCAGGGGTGGGGGGGGGTCCTGGCGATGCCCCGACGAGGAGGAAGATTTCCCTGACGAGAGGAAAAATTTGACAATTTATGGGTTATTTAATCGATTTTAGAATCTACTAATATGTACAAATACATATAATTTTTTTTTCTCCCCGACGAATTATGTTTTTTTTCCCCCGACGCTTTGCCCTACATGACGTGTTATCTTACCGAATACTTAGTAGATTTACGTTCCCATTCTTTTTTTGGGGGGGGGGTTTCACCCACTTTTATTCAACAATGATATAGGCATATACATATCATATACATAGGCATATATAAATTTTTTTACTACCGCCAACCAAGCGAAACATTTTCAGTTTTCCTCCCCTTTTCTCCCCTTTTTCTCTTTTTCCTTTTTACCTTTCTTTCTATTTTATTATAACTTAAAAATCTATCAAAAGAAAAGAAATGTAACTCCAATTATACGCCATTCTAATTCGTTTAAAAAAGTATCGAATACCTGATTCTTACTATTGAAACTGCATTACGATGTTCGGAACTTTGTATAAAACTTTACCATTATCCTAATTTGTAAGGCTGTTGTATTTATCGCATACAGCTTAGTATGCTATTCTTATTCTCTAAATTTATCTTATAGTAGAGTCTTGTAAGTTGTTTTTAACACTGTTCAAACTCGCAACTGAATTTTGCGTGCTTTTGCATCAGCAAATAAGATAATAACATGATCAAAGTTAGCAATGTTGTCTGCTTCATCACGCTCACGTGGCTCTGAGACAGGGACATTGCCAGGATTTTGAAGTTGGGGGAGGAGGGTATTCGAGGTACGTAAGAGGGGGGGGGGTGTCCAGGGGCGAATCCCCCTGGAAAGTAGCGCGCTCTGAAAATTTTTAGGACTGTTTTGAGATGATAAAGTGCAAATTGCAATAATAAGTGGATCCAGGAAACCAAAAGAGAGGTGACTCAGGGAGAGACTTTTACAGATTGAGGAACCATCTACCTCAGCCCCACCATGGTTGGGGCTGAGGTAAGAAAATTTATGATTAGGGCACCACCAGATGGCCGGAAATTACACTCTCAGACTTATAAGGAGGCCTATATTTTTCTTTTTTTTCCATTAAAATATTTTTTTTGGGGGGGGGGAGGGGCTTGAATCCACCACTGCTCTAAACATTCTTTATCCAAAATAGTCATAATCACGAAAAATAGGCATGTAAAACCAGACCACACCCTAAAAACAAATGTGTACTCTCTCCCCTCATCAGCAGTCACTAAGACATACTCTGAGTCAGGTGTCGACTCGATGTAGATTAATGTCATACACAGGAAGGGCGCAATCTGTTGTGAAAGGTGGAGGGGTGGGGACATTTCGTGAGTCGACACCCACCGGACCCACCATGGTTGAGGCTGAGGAGAGAAAATTTGTGGAAATAGTACCGTACCTAAGATGACCAGAAAATGAAATTTTTAGTAAAATTGATCATCATCACATCACCATTTGGCCTATATATATACTGTATATTATACTCAAAATGAAGCGCCAACAAATTTTTCATGATCTTTTATCTGGGATTTTCGGCAACCATAGCGATCTTATTAATATGTGTGATGTACCATAGAAAATAAAGCTTAAAAACATTGTCTTTGAGTAGGCCTATGTACTTTACATACTTCAAAGCCGTCATTCTACAACCACCTCAGCCCCACCATAGTTGGGGCTGAGGAGAGAAAATTTGAGTAAATAGTACCGTACCTCCAGATGGCTGGAAATGACACCTTTTTATAGTAAAATTCATCATCATCACATCATCATTATATTATAGTCAAAATGAATCCTTTATCAGGGATCTCTAGGATGGACAACTTAGGCCTAACTATAGCTTACTAAGCTTTAACTACGGTACCGTATATAATAATTATAATCAACAAATCACAACTTACTTTTTCGCCTTTAGCATAATTTTCTTCACTTTTTAATATTATTAATATTATTATCTATTATCACCATCGTCATCATCATCATAATTACTATTATCATTATTATTATTGAGACGATTTTATTGTGGAAGGCCCACTACAAATATCCCACCATTACCATTATTATTATTATTATTATTATTATTATTATTATTATTATTATTATTATTATTATTATTATTATTATTATTATTATTATTATTATTATTATTATTATTATTACTTATTATTACTAGTAGTACGGTACTGTAGTATTAAAACAAAACTTTACAGAGCTTGCAAAAGGATAAAAACCAAACTAAAACATACAATATCACATTTCTGTATCTGAAAAGGACTGGCCTGGGATTTATGGAATTAAGATTTTAAAAAATCACGCTTTGGCCTATTTACTTGATACTTACTTGATGATTCGAGTCTTCTAAAGCTTCCGCTTATTTGACCATTTCTTCAATATACCGGTAACTATTACTACAGAGAGCTTGATACTTCGCAGAGTGAGGATTAAGGTGCTTGTAGCCTTGCAGAGTGAGGTTTAAAATACTTTTCCAGCTTGGATTTAAATTCATTTAATGTTGAGGCATTAATTATTTCACTAGGTAGTGAATTCCACTTTTCGATAATAACTAGAAAAAGTTTTTTCTGTGCATAGGCCTATTCCTAGTATGCTGTTTTGCAATCTTAAACTTATGACCTCTAGTTATTGAGTCCTTTATAAAAACAAGTACCGGTAATCATTTGGATTTATATTGTCAAAGCCTTTCATCAATCTAAAAAGCTGCAATAAGCATGCCCGCTCTCTCCTATACTCTAAAGTATTTAGTTTTGTTACTCGTAATCTTTCTTCATAAGACATGTTTTGTAAAGGGGGGGGGGGCTAATTTTAATAATCTTCTTTGAACCTTTTCAAGAGCTTGAACATCTTCCTTATTATGTGGTAACCATGCAGTAGCACAATACTCTAAAGTAGGTCTAATTAATGATTTATATATATTAACGGATTCAGTATCTAAGTAGCTAAATGAACGTTTTATAAGACCAATCTTTCTATTTGATCTTTTAATAACATTAGCTACTTGTTACGGAATTTTTAAGGATACATCTAGGCCTATTATTACTCCTAAATCATTTATATTGGAAACACTTTCAAGTTCTACTCTATCACTAACAATACCCATGTAATATATAAGTCCTGTAGTTTTTCTTCCCATGGAGTGTACAATTTTACATTTAGATCAATTAAAGGGTAATTGCCAATCAACAGACCATTTATACATCATCTCAATATCATGCTGGAAATGCTCTGCATCAATTTGATTGTTAACGACTCTATACATCTTAGACGTGTCATCAGCAAATATCGCAACAAATGAGTTTACAACGGAGGGAAGGTCATTGATGAAGATTAAAAATAATAAACTACCAAGTAGGCCTACACTTCCCTGGTACCCCACTTGTAACTGGACTCCAGTCAGAAAAACTCTGTCCCATCCTAACTATTTGTTTTCTATTTGACAAATACGCCTTTATCCATAAAAGCAAATGCCCACTTATTCCATATGATTCTAACTTTGTCAACAGCTACCATGGGGGGACACTAAGGCCTTTTGAAAAGTCCATATATATCGAGTTTCCTTCAAACACGACCAATTGTAAATAACATGCAATATAACTGAGTGTTGCAAGAACGGCCTTTTCGAAATCCGTGCTGTTCAGGGCAAAACAGGAAGTTATCTTCCATATGAGAAGATATTTAATTTTTTATAAATGTTTCCATTGTTTTACACAAGGTAGAAGGCCGTCGACAGAGGCTTCGTCGGCCCCTTGGCTTGGACCCCGTCGTCGGACATGCGCGGACCCCTTGTCGGCAAATTCTGACACGCGCCACCGCTGGTCGACCGGAACATCGACACAGCATGAAACATAATATTATTTTACTATTTACCAGAAATAAAATTGCCCATGATTGGGAAATAATCCACAAAACGAGACAAAATTGATATCATATTAATTCATCACAAAGATACAGAACTTCGGAAAAATTGTTTAGTGAGTGTTTTAATTGCCAAAATTTTCATTGCGCCCTCAATTTCAGGTTCCATGTGTTTTTTCTACTCGCTCTCAGCTTCATTGATTGGACGTAAATCAAAGATACTAGAAATACAAGATAGAGTTCTCGCATTGTAAAAATGAGGCGGAAGTCGTGCCCAA